ATCTGTTCTTCATTTCTATAATTTTGTCATTTTAAGGATGCTATGGAAATAATATAGTTTGTAACCTTTTGGGATTGGCTTTTTTTACCCAACATAATTCTCTGATGATTCATCCAGGTTGCTGCATGTATTAATAGTTTGTTCCTTTTTATTACTGGGTAGTATTCCATGGTATGGATGTGCCACAGTTTGACCATCTGTTGAAGGAACTATGGGTAATTATTAATTTTGAATAATTATGCCTGTCAGGTTATTAGAATTCTTTCACTGAAAACATTAAGTGGAGATTAAGTGGGATAAAATAGACACAAGGCAGAAATCAGTCCTCATCTTCCATGCTATTCTTGAAGAGGTATTACCTAATCCACTTCCTTCTACCTGCTCTTCTCAGGATTTTTTAATTTGTTCAGAGCAGCCAAAAAAAAATCTGGAAATTAGTTCAAAGCTAACTCTCTCTTCATCCCCTTCTGAAAGCCTCAGAAAGCAAGAGATGATGTGAAGAAATTAGTCTCAAATGTCCCACTGAACCCCTGATCCCAGCACATCATCAAAAACAGAATTAAATGATGCCAAGTTTATCAAATTACTAAAGCCAGTTCTAAACCTCTGGACTTAGGAAACTGCAATAATAAAAATACAAATGAATTGCTTTTCAGTACATTAAAAAAAGTCAACAGATATCACAGAAACCTAATTATCATTTTTGCTCAATTATCTTACTGAAATCTTGTTGAGTTTTATTGTCCTTATCCAGCATTACTTATGCTGATATATAATCTATGTAGCAGTTTATTAATAATACAAGATTAAAATAAAAACAACCTTGTATCGAGTGAATACTAAGGTGGCCAGTATAATGATTGGGAAGCAATTTTGGTCAGACCAGACCAGGGATACATCGGTTGTTGGTCTGTGAACTCCCCAAGTGCTCCATGCCATTCCTGTACCACCAGCACACTCCATGGGTTACTTATGTGTGCACTTGTTTACCTTTTTTTCTGAGCTGTAAGGGCCTCATGGCAGGTGTATATTTTCATTTTATAACATCTACAAAGTATGCACTGAATTAATTACTTAAGGAAACATAATACTATCAGCAGCTCCTAATTCTTGAGTGTTTAATGCAGTTATATTATCCTACCTTTCTAGATAGGGAACTGAGGTTCAGAGGGGTCAAGGAAGGTCATGGCTAGTAAGTGGTAGAGACAGGACTCAATCCTGGTTTTGTCTGGCTCCAAAGTCTATGCTCTGCCTAGTTTAGTACACTAATTGGCTGTGTTAGGAAACATACAGGGAAACTTCAATAAGAAGCTGTGTGGTTTATGCATGAATATGGAGGTTGGAAAAGAACTTCAGCAATGCACTATTGGGTCAGACAATAACAAAATCTTTATTAAAATGTTTCTGTTTTTTGCCAGGTACTAGGCAGGGGTGTCAGAGAAAACAGAGATATGATCCCTGGAGCTGAGGAAGGGGATCTCAGGCTAGGTCTGAAGTAGGTACACTATACCCTGAAGTAAACAATATAGAAATAAAAACAAAGTGGCACACTGACTGCCTAGGGAGGAGTTGGGGCAGCCTCAAAGAGGAGGTGGATGAGCAGGAATTCACTGCCTCCACGCAGGGTCGACTCTGTGTTGACAGGCCCAGTGGATGCTTTGCTGGAAAGCACAAAGGCATCTGCTAGTGGGCATTTCCGGTAGGCAAGACACACAATCTCAACAGGTCTATTAAACCTTGGATCTGTCACCTCTTCTGAACTGATTTATAGTCTTGTACCCAAATGTGATTAACTTGGTGGGTTCGCAATCATGAAAAGAAGAATTTCCCTAGTTATACTCAAGTTGCCTATTTCAAGCTCTGAAAAGTGTCCCTAATTTTAAATTTTCTATAATTAGGTAGGAAAATTATAGTTCTCATTCCATTTCTCCTTCATCTTTTCACATTGAATAAACACATATTTTTGGCCTAACCTCAAAATATTTCTTTACCCTTGATCATTTTAACACCTCTTTTAACACCTGTTTTAGTTTCATTATTTCTTTCTTTGGGTATGACCAGGAGAACCACAAAACACATTCTTGGTCTGATAGGTGTGTATAATTGATATCTACAGTT